CCATCACCTGAGTCACACAGAGGGAAGGCATGTACAGGAGAAGCCAATGCTGAGCTGAGCAATTGGGATGTGAAGCCTTTTCCAGGCAAACCAGAAGGGGACAGATAACGTGCTCAGGAGGTACCACAGAGAGAAGTTACAGCAATGCATCACCACAAGCCCCAGGCTCACAGAAAACGCAGCTGTGAGGAGCATTGTGTGTACAATGGCAAGTGATTTCTGCGCATGAGGAGACTGCAATAGCTGGGTATTTTGCTTCAGAGAAACCCATGCACTGGCACACTTGAGAAACCATCTGAGCTTGTTGACTGGAGTCCACCATCTTATATTGACTGCTCAAACCCACTGGTCTTTTCTATTTCCTGTTATTCAGCTAAGTGAGAAGGGATTCTTGTCCCCAGCATACCAGTTACAGTTAACAAAATCCTGAACAGCTCTTTCAGAGAGAAGGCGCAACTGCCCCGTGGCAGATCGCAGCGTCTCTTTCTGGTTCTTAACCTGAACATTCCTCAAGCTCCAAGACACAAGAAGTTCTGATTTGTTCCCTACGGGGTCTCAGGGCCACAGCCAAAAGCAGGCTGTGACCTAAGGATTACTGGACAGGACATATGGTGCCAGAAGCCAAGTGAGAAACCTGGGACTCAGGATTTTTCAGTCCTAGTGTACCAGAGTCCACTTCCTTAGAATGCTATGTACGGTCATGGAGTCTTTTGCTAGTCTACTTCCCATTTGCTTTATTGATCATATTTTGAAGCACAGGCTGTTTGGCATTTGAAAATCCAGTTCACACAAATTGTAGATCAATGGTTGAGGAAAAAGGGGCAGAGAACATCTTTGCTAACCATCTGTGTTTGAATACCAGCAATCCATACAGCCCTCAACACACAGTATTACCAGTCAGACATTGAATTGCCAGGGAGACCGTGGCTCTAATCAGTGTTGCTCAAGAGATTCCACAGAGAAGTTAAGAAATAAAGTTTGTAACATACAAACATCAGCCCTGAGGGAATTCCCTACGTTGTGCAACAGGTATGCCCTCCTCACTGTGCACGCTCCAACTCCCATCGCACAAACACGGCAGGACTCTTGTCACACCTTGCACTGGCTCAAACAAGACAGCAAAGACTTTCAATCCTTAATCTTGCCCTACAGATAAGATTCGCTTGGGCAACGGCCTTGAGCTGTGTCCCGAGCAAAAACTGAATCTGTGCCAGCAGAAAGTAACTCTGCCCCAGCGTTCCCTGTCAGCTGGGCACTTGTGCAGCTGCTCAGCAGAGATTTCAGTGCTGTGCAGCTGATCAGCAGAGCACTCACACCAAGATTTGGGTTTCTACTAGTGGTGCACATTTGCACATGCCTCTGTGCACATAAAAATTTATTCTGCGCATAGAGGAAAAACTCCACCCATGGATGGAAAAGATTAGCGGGAACACTGCTCTGCACCCCTTAAAAATGAGACCATCCCCAGCCTGGCCTCTATGTTAACTGAGGCACAAAAGAAAGTGATGTGTCCCAAGCTCACGCGGGAGTCAACAGCAAAGCAGAGACTAGAACTTGGGGTTCATGACTTGTGTTTCACCAGTGTTTTAACTATAAACCACCATCTTAAGATTCAAAGTTATCTTGCTGGGTTATGCAATTCTCTGCTACTGCAGACAACCATTTAGGGTGAAAATATAAAGTGAGTAACCTGAAGTCCAAAAAGTCAGCCAGCACTGTCCAGGAGAACTGGCTGTGATTCACTCTGGAGCTATTTATCTGGGTAAGGCATCCCTGTTAAGTCTCACAAGGAACTTTCCCCAGGGCAGGACTGAGAGCATGGATTCTCAGTTAAAAGTTGGCTCCCCGCACACACCAGCTCCCAGGGAGCTTCCTGCCACTCTGCACTGTCACACACAGAGACCTGGCTGACTGCCTCTCCCTGTGTAACAGCTGAAGTTTTCAGCAGTTACATTTACTTAATTACACTCATTTTAACATTCCTACTAAATACTAGGGCTCTCAAGCAGTTCAAATGTTTGGGATTAATTGCACTGCTAAACAACAGAATGCCACTTATTTAAATATGTTTAGATATTTTCAACTTCAAATATTTTGATTTCTATGTATTCTATGGGATATAAAGTGAGCACTGTACATTTTGTATTTTTGATTAAATATTGGCGCTACAAAAAACGGTATTTCAGTTCACCTCATACAAATACTGTAGTGCAATCTCTTTATCATGAAAGTTGAACTTATGAATGTAGAATTATGTACAAAAAACTCCAAAAAACTTTAGAGCCTACAAGTCCACTCAGTTCTATTTCTTGGTCACTCAAACAAGTTTGTTTACATATGTGAGAAATAATGCCGCCTCCGCTCCCCCCCACCTCCACTCCCCAGTCCCCTGCCCTCATTCCTGAGCCTCCCCTTCCATGCTCCAAATTCCTGTCCTGAGCCCCTCATGCACCCCAATCATGACTCCTGCATCCCACCCCCCCATGTCCTCAGCCCCCTGTACTGACTCCTGTACCCCAACCCTCTGGCCCCACACTTATACTTCTTACGGGTACTGTTGTACTGCACCCTTCCCTGCCCTGAGGCCCTCTCAAGGAGGGGTGGGTTGTGACAGGACAGTACCAGTGTTCCCTGTAAGCTGCTGGGCAGCACAGCTTCACAGGTCATTAATCAGCCCCCCACCCCCAGTCAGCCAGCTGCCTGCATGGAGCCTTGAGCCTCTGACTGGGCAGAGCTGATTGATCACCTGTGAAGCTGGGCTGCGGCTTAGAGGGAACACTGGACAGAGCCTGTAAGAGATTTAAAGTTACTTTCAGCCCTGGTTTTAGGTGCAACACCAGCCCAGCTGTTTATCTCCTGCTACGCCTGCCAGAGTTCTCTTGGCTCTGCATCGTACGGTGTCTCCATCGTACCCCTTCTCACACAGGGCTCAGGAAACCTGGCCATATGTGTTCCAGTTCCAACAGGTGGGTCACTCACAGCTGTGACTGCACCGATTCATCACCCCCACACTGAAAAGATGCAAAAGCTCTGGGCAGGGCCAAACTATGAGGCTAATAAGCCTATATAGCTTTAGGCCCTCCCACTCAGGAAGGAAGCAGGACAGGGCAAAGAAGGGGGAGCCAGCTTGCTCAAAGGAGAACTCCAGCCAGCCAGCCAGCCAAGGCAAAGCAGCCCTGTGGCTTAGAAGATCCCAATCGCTCCTTGACAGTGCTGGAAGGGGAACAGCAAGCAACAAACAGTATTGGTACGAATCCGGGGTGGCTTTGGCTCCTTCTGCCCTTCCTAAAAGGCGCCGGGAGGGGGTGGAAGGCGGCAGCTCAGGCAGCCCTGGACTGTTGTGGGGCACACCCCGTCAGCCCCTTTCACCTGCCTGCAGCTTAGCACAGCAGCCTGCAGGAAAGCTCCAGGAGCCCAGCTGGTAGTGGGCCCACCTCCTCCTGCCACTGAGCACCCCAGCCGGCTCTTAAAGCATCTGCGTACTGGGGTGCTCCGCCTGACTCATCTCTGGTTTCATTCCAAAAATGCAAAGCTAAATAAACCTGCAGTTGGTCTTTTTTCACTAGCTTTAGGCCCCTCTTAACCTTAATCCAGGCCTGGCTCTGGGGTGCTCCAAGCAGGGGTGTGTCTTGAGTGATAGCCACCCCGTTTCCCTGAGAAGACGCCATGTGGACCACTACAAAATGAGCCAGACACCAGGGGTTAAAGTTCCCGGGGCTCTCAGGGCGGTGGGGTGCATTTCTGTTTAGCTGGCTGAAGAGTAGTGGAGTTCAAAGCATTGGCCAGAGTGGCTAGTTGGGCATTATGGGAAGCATGCTGAATTTCAATAAACTTGACAAAAAAAACCTGCTGTAGTACACACTGCATGACTGCTGACAGTGAAGGGAGGGGGAGAGACATAGTCCCTCATGAAGCTGGAAGCTTTTTGTCTCCAAAACTGGGCATTTTTCATGACTTGTTATGTTACAATGTGAACGCTCCTGGGTTCTGCCACCAAAATGGGGCTTGGGGTGACAAAACTTGCCGGTGTAAACAAGTGCTACAATAAAGCAATGAATCCAAAGGTAAGGAATGCTGCAAAGAAACATCTAAAACCAGTCCTCCTGTCATTCCCACTGTGGCCATCTGCCTTCCCACCCAATCTTTGTATTCAACCTCCAGACCCAGAGAGAGAAGCCCACATGTCAGCATTAGAATGGCCAATTCAGGCAGCCCACCCACACAGCACTTGTTACACAGCAGGAGAGAACAGAATCACATCCCCACTGACAAGCCGTCAGTCATTTCCATTCTTGGGAACACACAAGAAACCCAAGTAGCCACACAGGTTTCTGCAAAGGAATTTGTGGCTGCACATTTATACACTATCCCACTCTGCTTTGTTCTGTATAATTATGCTGTGATACACTAGCAACGTATCACAATCGTGTACAAATTGCACCAGCTCTTGCATCTTCTTGGCAACTTGTCTACACAGTGCCTCATGCAGCTGGGCCCTGATTCTTGTTTGTCAGTCCTAAGCCCTACCATAACACAAGAACCACCATGGCCTTTAGTCTGCAACAGCCAGATGCCTCATGTAAATGGAAATGTAAACCAACCACATGCAGTGGCTGTCCACAGAGCTAACTCCTCCTCGGATGCTCAGGAAGTGGCTATGCAGCATTCCAGAGGGCACACTGCTGTAAGAATTTTTTTCCAGATTCCTACAACAATAAAGGTGGTAGAGAGGTCTTCTGTAGAAATTGGTCTTGGTTCCTGGATCTCAGAACAAAAATGTGTGCAGAACCATAATCCCCTTTCTCTACCCCAATATATACACGGTAATTACTTGTTGTAAAACAAAATCATTCCAATTTACTCCTGATTTGCTGCATACACTGTATAATGTACAAACATTGGCATTGTTCATGCGTCAACAACTGGGTTACAATGTTATCCTGAATGAGAACAGGAGAGAAATTTGCTAGTCACTTGTGTAGCACTATAAATCCACTAACCTTAAGCCGTTGAAGAGCTGTTTAGATTTATCCAGTAGGTAACAAAAGTCTGTGACTGTTTTCCTCTCTCCCTGAGGGATATCATCCTCAGCTCCTCCCGATGACATGATTTCTTTTAGGGCAAACTCAGTCCTAGAAGAAAGCAAAGATCTATATAAGCCAAAGATTGAAAGCAACTGGGAACTCAGCAGACCAGTTTTAAAAAGCATATATGATTTCACAGGGATAATGAAACATCCAACAGGCAATTCTCCCACCTGTTACTTTCTGAGAGACTCTTTGAAGTTACAACAGGAATATTAACTCAGGACCAGAAAACCCTAACAAAGCATGGGGATATATATAGCATGGCTCGCTAGTTAACGAAACAAATGAAAATGGCATAGTACTCATGACATAAAATAGCTTGTTGACTGGACTATTAAAGACAAAAGCACAAATAAAAAGAGATTGTGCGTAAACACAGCGTGACTGTAACAACTCCTCTCTCTCAGCTTTTTGTCTATTAGCAAAGTGATGTGGGTTGCCTCACAGCAATGCTTAGAAAGAAGAGATCCAGGCCCTAAATCTGTTTACTACATGCGTTTCCATCCCTTTCCTTTCCTTCCCCAGTTGTTGGAACCTATAGTTCACTATTCCGCACTGTTGGACATCGGTGGTGTTTCCAGGAAGACATGCCCTAAATGATGCCTGTTCACTGACAGCTTTTCCTCACTAACAACTCAAGAGGGCTGCAGCCCAAGGATACCTACACAATCATTGGGTTTTTTGTTTATTCATCTGTGCACACCCTCATACTGTGCAATGACTAGCAGTATGCTATAAATGCGTATACAAGGGATCTGTAGCACGGACAGACCTAAAATTGAGTAAAAGTATAGAAGTTAGTGACCTTTTTGGAAAACAGTGTTAGAGATGCAGCCATGTTAGTCTTTAAAGTGCTACATAGTCTGGTGTAGCTGAAACAAAAGACAGAACTAACAAGATGGTTTATTAGGTGATGAGCTTTCGTGGGCCAGACTCACTTCCTCAGATCAATATGTGGAAGAAATACACTTTGGTATATATGGTTGTGCCGATTTTCTTCCACATATTGATCTGAGGAAGTGGGTCTGGCCCACGAAAGCTCATCACCTAATAAACCATCTTGTTAGTCTTTAAAGTGCTACATAGTTCTGTCTTTTTGGAAAACCTGTTTGAAATTAATCCACAGCAAGATTAATGTCATGACCATCCAGCCGTGAACAGGGAGCTATAGGTTCTGATACCTGTAATGAGATGTACTGAACTTCAAATGGCTAACCGCTTTGGGACCCATCTATGCTCTCTAGAAACTTCAGGTCAACACAGGTCATTAATAGGAAAAGAAAGAGAGAACCAACCAAGTGTTTTTGGCATCTCTGTGGAATCTGGCTAACTAATGGGGTTGGGGATTGTTTGGGGAAGAAAGGGCAACAATAAATTCCATTTGCACAGGATCATTGTGCAATGACTGTATATGTGCAACCATCTGCAACTCTCCATTCAGAACAAGAGGAAGCAGCGCCTGCCCTGCAAGGAGAGCATGGCCAAAAAGCAGATTACATGCAGACACTGGAGAACAACTACAGTCATTGTCCCATCAATGTCACGCCAAACTCCCAACTCAAGCAGACTTCGGTTACACTTCCTGTGACATCACTTCATGCACTACAACAGGGGTGGGCAAAAGCCTCTAAGTGGGCCAGATTCGACCCACATGGCAGTTCCAGGCCCCACCCCCTAGCACACTGCCTGGGAGCTGGGGATGTGCAAGCCCATTTAACTGCTTCGGTTTAAAGGGCTCACCCCTTCCCCGTCAGGCGATGCGTTGCCAGGAGGAAGGCACGAGCCCTTTAAATAGAAGCAGCTGAAGGGCTCACTCATCCTGGCTCTCTGGCAACACGCTAGCAGCGCCAGAGCTGTGAGCCCTTTCAATAGAAGCAGTTCAAAGGGCTCACATATCCCCAGCTCCCAGGCAAAGCACTAGCATGAG